TTTTTTTTTTTTTTTTTAAATGATAAAGGCTGAAGTTGATTAATCTTAAGTCTAAATATTACTAATCAAATATATCACTTCAAAATATGATTTGAAAAGATGTTTTAATTAATGATTAAGAGATCAAGTAGAGTTTTCATGTTGGAAGTTTTAGATTCAAACATTAGATACACAAGGAGTGTTTATATGTGTTTTCAAATGTACTTATATGTTCAAGAGACTCTTAGTAATGATATGTTAAGAGTGTGGAAACCTAAAGTTTCTCAACTCTTCAATGCTTAATGTACTCTTTCCTGATAATATGTACACTAATTGGCATGTTAAAAAAAAAATGCATATCAAATAAAATTGTAAAAACTGAGAAATGGGGAGGGAGATCTAGAGAGAGGGAGAGTTAGATATACTATATAGTTGAAAAACGAAAATTAGATCTATATATACTCCACTAGAATTGTTTTTTTTTTCTTCAACAAAAATGGTCTTGGATGGATGCAACTTATATCTTTTAATTTAATACATTACACAATGCACTTATTAAAATATCATTAATTTCTAATTTAAAATTAAAAACAAATAAATTTAAAGATATAATAATGTATACAATATGCAAAAATTGACTGAATTAACTACATTTATATTATATTTTAATGGTTGAATCAAACGACTATTAAAAGGTCCTGACTGCTATACTAATAATTTTTCTTATAATAAATTAATCATTAGTATTAAACAATAAACATAAACAGCTATGTGTATTTGAACAAAAATTATGAGTATAGTTTACATCAAGGGAAAATGTTTATCAATTGAATTTATAAAATATTAGGCAAAAAAACACATTAAAACTATATCATTTTATTAATTATTTATTAAAAAGAGCTAAAATTAACTTATTTTTAGGGTAAGAGTGATATTTTTTGGTAATTTTCTTTATGTGTATCTATTATATCAGACAGAATATATACTGTGAGTCCTATAACCCAAAAAAATGGTCATCTTGAAACTTAATTAGCTTCTTAAAAAATCAAAACAAAGCTATTTCAAAACACATTAGGTAACCCATGCAGAAAACACTGTCTTTAATTCATGGAACTTTTTTTTTTTTTTTGAACGAAAAAACTATAGAACTTCTATTATGTAGAAAATCAAGAAAAAGCAAATTAATTGCGTAATAGTCTTAACATAAAATATACTAACTGTATTTTAATTAGTCACTGATCTGTTCAAATCCTATCGTTTTCTAAGTGAACATAGACTCAATTAGACTAATTAAGACTAAATTAGTTTAAAAACAGTACTTGTAAACTGTAATGAGAATACCTGAGAGTAGTCCCTTTAACTCCAGCAGCACCGGAAATATCAGTTATGGGAATGTGAAAAGCTTCAGACCAAGACAACTGCTTTAGGCATGTAGCCGTCGGCGTTCCCCACCGGTAACTTCCGGCGGACAGATTGAGGTATTTGTCTTCCTTGCACTTCTTGCTAAAAGGTTGCTTGAAAACCTTAACTTGCTCCTCTCTTATCATCTCCAATATATCTTTGGAGATACCATGGTTTATAATTTGAAAAAAACCCCAATCTTCCGAAGCCCTAACTATTTCTCTCTCGCACCCTTCTCTTTCCTCTTTGTCGTCCATGGACAAACGGCCTAGATCAATCAAGGGAAGCTCCTGTTCCTCAACAATAACAAGCTCGTTATCATTGGATTCGATGGTGTTGTTGACGAGGTCCTTGTAGGTCTGGTGGAATGGTGGGTCTGAGTCCATGCTTTGTGCCTGCAAGAAGAAGAAGAAGAAGAAGAAGAAGAGAGTAAGAGATGCCAAATTTAAAGGGGGCTAGTAGAATGGAGACATGGAAGAATTCATCGAGACAACAAGGTTTTTCTTTGTTTGTGATCGATGAAAACGTTATGGCGTTTTCCCTCTTTGTTTTTTCAATTTGGACCTTGGAGACAAAGTTCTATTGCATGTCTTTTTTGCAAGGAGAAGGAGAAATGGTAAAGGTTTGAGTAATCTGGCTCTGGAGTTTAGGAATCTTAATTCTTGGTTTGTTTGGAATTTGCTCCTCGCTTTATTGTGCATAACCCCCATCCCAATATGAGTGGCAATCAAAGAATATAGCTAAGCAGGAGAATGGTAAGAGTGGATTGGAACATCCAGCAATGTGGGACAATTGTAGTTTCTCTTTATTTAATATATGTGTTGGGATGTAATGCATGAGAGATATTGAGCTTGTGATGTTGAAATGTGAATTGAGATCGATATCTTGCGCGTTGAAATACGACTTTATATGTATTCTTGTTATGCAAATTTTTTTATTGAGAAAAAAAAAGTTTTTAAGAGATAATTTTTTGTAAATTTTTAATAAAATAGTGATTTGTATATACACTCTTATTTAATATATTATATATCACATTCATTAAAAATTATAATTTTTTTGCCTAACATTAAATGTAAATAAACTTAAAAATACAACCATGCACATAAAATACAAAAACCAACTAAATTGATTGTATTTATATTATATTTGTAATGGTTAAATTGATAGTGTGTCAAAAAATATGTTATATTAAATATGTATCAATCATTTTCCTTTTCAGTATTCTCAACATGAATTAAATATTCGGCCTTAAGCTTGTTAAATGGTGTGTGGGGTCAAGGGATGAGATGTGTTTTTTGTGGTGAGGAGAATTAGAGGATGTAGATCATTTGTTGTTAAATTGTAGGGTCTCCAAAGATATTTGGATTGTGGCATGGAGAGAAACTGAGAAAAAAGGTATGGGATGTTTTTGTTTTTGGTGTAGTAGGCGAATGAGTCCCAAAAGTTAACACATTCTTAATGAAAATTAATTTAGTGGCAATTGCACCCTTAAACTTACTCTAAACAATAGTAAATTTTTCTAAAGGGATGGCAAGCGTTAGTGAATGTTTATCTACTCACATCAAGCCACATTTGATAAATTAAATATTAATTTTTTATATATATATCAAATAATGAGATACACAACATGGCATAAACCTTCTCTTTCCTAAATCCCTCCCCACCCATTTCAAAATTCAAATTTAAGATCTTCAATATGAAATTTAAGTTCTTAACCACTAGTTGTCCCCTAAGGAACATAAATTAAACATTAATTAACGTTAACATTTACCTTCAACCTTTTTTTATTTCAGAGGTAAATTTTTCATCAAAATGTTATCAAAATCTTATTTTATAGTGAAAATTATTTTAGAGAACTTATTTACTAATTATTCCTTTTTAACATATTTTTTTGTGGTGAATTGATATTCATAGACCTGTGGGGAAAACAATGTCATACTCCGATGGTTAAAAGGGAAAAAGAATATGAATGCTAAAACACGATATACAAATATAAGATCCTTCACAAGGTTGTAATTTTCCCTCAAAATGAGTAATGTGAAGACCAATAACATGATTTGAGATCTCTTACTTTTATCAAAAAAAAATTATAATGGCTCATAATTTTTTTCCATTTTATGTTCAATATCATTGTTTTTGTTTTTTAGGCTCTAGGTTCTTTTCATACTGAATTCGGTAATTTCATATACAAATGTAGTTTTGGGGTTCAAATTTTAAAGCTAGTAAAAATTAAAAAAAAAAAAATTGTACTTGAATTCACAAAGTAAATATGTTAGGTGTGTCATTAACATTACTTGAGGTAAAATTAGTTTTGAAATGTGTACAAACTAACTAACATACACCATGACCATTTAAAACCAAGAAAGAAAAACTAAATACTAGCTACTTAGTATGTACAAAATTTTATTTATAATCATATGGAAAAAATCTCTTACAATTCCTTCTTTTTTCTTTTCTTTTTTTTGGATTTAGTGGTTTGGGTGTCTTTTAATTAGTTTATGCACATTTTGAAACTAATTCCTTTTGATCTAACTAAAAGCAAATTATCCATACTAGGACTAGGGAATTCATGAAAAATTATATTCTCACTAGCCTCTCTATGGAATCAAACTTTAATGATTAAGGTGGAGAGTAAATCCCTAATCAATTAAGTCACAACTCTTTTAATATCTCTTATAATTACTTTACCAATTAATTACCCATCTTATTGTAGTATGTTATCTGTGTTGGCAATAAATAAGATGGTGAGTGTTGAATTGTGATGGTAAATGCAGGGTGGTTGCTTGCTGCCGTTCCGTAACGGCAAGGTAGGTAGGTGGATAGATAATGGTGCATGTCTTCAGTTTAGCTAATTTTATCAACTAATATATAACTTTTTCTCCCTTAAAAATATATCAAGGTGTTTAAAGATATCTACTTATAAATTGACATTAATTGTTTCATTAACTATTCAATGTTTTTTTTTTTTTTTTTGCACAGAAAAATAATTTTATTTGATGGAGTACAAGGGGTACTCCTGCTCATAGTACAAAAATAAGCAATCACTGAGCATTCACTAATTTCATTAACTATTCAATGTTAGTAATAATTAAACCAAACAAAGCCTAACAAGTAGGTTAATTTTTATTTATTTATTTATTTAGTTTTTGAAAGGCGTAGGCAGGAGGTAATGGTACGAGGTTCCATTAAGAGGGCTGCCTGTTTTCTATTTCATTTATTTGTATTCTAATTTTTTCAATTTTTTGTTTTTATTAAAAAATTAATCAAAAATATTTTATACAATCCTATACTAAATTACGGAAAACTAATTATTAACTGAAACAAACACTAATATAAGTGTAAAACCTTCTCTTATTTTTATAGATGTGGTTTTGTAATTCAGATTCCTAAATTGCAAAACTCTGAATTAATATTAATAACTTATTAATTTTTTTAATACTTTAATAACATTTTTACTGTTAATTTTTTACTTTTAATATCGTTTATTTATAATTTTAATTTTTAATTATCAATGTTTATCATATGCATTTTTTATGCAACAAGAACAAAAGAACTAACAACCACATCCTTATTAATAAACATGGTTATGGTCACACAAAACCTTAAATTTTTTTAATATTAATTTAATTTAATTTAATTGTTAACAAAATATTTAATAATTATTGTTATTAATTGATAAATAATAAAATTACTAATATTTATTATTTAACAAATTAAAATTAATTTATATAATAATATTTTAAAATAATATAAATCACAATTTATAAATAAAAAATAAAATTTATATGAACTTTAACACTTCTGGTGTTTAGCCTTAACCAACGTCGTTATTAAGCTAGCCACATCCTTATTTATCCGTTTCAAGTCATGGATCATATTCTTGATGGACCAAAAAAGTCATGGATATTCTCATATTCAGATATTCTTCTCTCTGGTCCCTAATTTCCATCTATCCGCTTCATGCGCATTCGTGTCCAATCAGTCAATTCAAATTGTGGTGGGCAGCTAGATTTTTTGTTTTCTTGATTGGGTTAATTGGGTGCTCTGTACTGTTGTATTAGCTTTTTCATTTTCACATACAAAATAAATAGAGAAAGAAGGTTTTCCCCTATAATAGAATAATCTGATTAATTAAGGGTTGATTGTAGATATTTTGGTTCCCCTGTGTCCCTCTAAATACGTCCCTTCATAAATTTGGTTGGTCCTCTTTCCTTTTCTGTCTTTTCTCTCTCCTGTTCCATGATAGTTTAGTTTTTTTGTTTCATTTTCTAGTTATTTCCTTATCTAGGTTCCTTTTTACTTTTCTTGCCCTTATTTTGATTTTTCTTTCCTTTTCCTTTTCGTTTTCTTCTTTCTCTCCTCCATTTAGATTCAGTTTCATTATCTATATTGCCCGGCGAGAATAGAGGATGAAGAAAATGGTCATTTAAGTGGGTAATTTGGAAGTTCTATGTTACGTCATCTAGAGAGATTTTATTGATTTCAATATTATAGTAAATTAAAAGTCGTTTAAAAATAGTCTGAAACATTAAATGAAAAGAGTATGTAAATAATATACCTTCTTAAAAATTATTAGTGTAACATATGCACTAACGGAACCACATTATTGGATGGTTAAGCATAGATACTACCATAAATTCAAAAAATTCAAAAAATAGAGATATTCAAGTTAAGATTTTATAGAAAATATTGTTTAAGACAATATCCTTAATCTTTTTCAAGATAAAAATATACTAAAAACTCAAGTTAAAAAAAAACAAAAAGTCCAGTCCTTAATTGTTTTTTCGTTCCACCACTTATTTGCACCATCTTTCTTTAGTTGAATAAGTTTGAAGTCGATCTACCCTTTATTTTCTTATCTTTGTTTGAGTTTGAGCTCTAAAGGAGGTAAGTCCTTGATCCATGTGATCAAGCTCTCTTCATCTATATATGTAAATGTCATATGGCTTATTGTTAAGAACTTTCACCATTGCGAGTAGTGATTAATTGATTATATCACAAGTATTGCAAGTTAGAAGTTGTTGAAATCGAATCCTCAAATGTGAACGTGATTACTATAAGAGTAGGAGGGTACAAAAAATTGATGATAAGGTTACCACTCATAATATAATCCAAAATGAGAATCTAAAATGAAAAGGGAAAAAAAATCTTCCACATTGCAGCTATCCGATTGGCAATTGTCATGTCTAAAACGCACTAAGGTTGAAATTAAGATTTAAGAATAGCATGATTAATTGGCATCTAAAGCAGCCGAAGGATGAATTTATGGCTAAGCAACTATGTTTTTTCATTTTTCTTTTATTTTTTTGTTAGGTTTAAGATTTAAATTTTGGGGTTAATATTTTAAAAAATTAATTTTTTTAAATACATTAAATCCATACAAGGTATGCTCTTAAAACTACTTAAAAAATAATTTTAAAATACATAAAAATTAATTTAAAGATATCTAGACCATAAACACTTAAAAGTAAAACAGACATTTAGAAACGTGGCCCATTTTGCTAAACATGGAATGGAGGCTAATATGCATAGATCGGACACTTAATTCCTTTTCGGTTTGCATTAAATGCTTGTCTTGTAGAACAAAAAGAAAAAGTTTGTGGTCACGTATGTCCATCGTGTGTTGATGATGGCCCATTAAACATCTTCTCATATCCACAAAACAAAGTAATTAAGTTGCAATTAATTTAGGGTGCGTTTGGTCACTCAAGAATATTTCAAAAAGTTATAGGCTATTAAGCCACGGCTTGCACTTGAAATGGGTTATGCTTACTCAATATTTTTGTTAAAGTTATATAAATCTTGTTTGGTTTGATATTTTATTAATTTTTAGTTTTTTTTATAAATAATTTATTATAAGGTTGTAAAATATCAATTTATCAATTAATTTTAATTTATTAAATAATAAATATTAATTATTTTATTAGTTATTAATTATTATTAATTATCAAATCAAACAAAATTAATATTTTTTAACTAATATTATATGCCTTTAACAAATCAATACGTAACTATAATGATATCTTTACAAATGGAATATTTTTTGTTGGTAAAAAACACATAAGCATTTATATATGGGTATCATACATTATATATACTCTAAAAAGGACTTTCTAAAAAAATAATATCCCACGAGATGTAGTCCCTTATGATAAAAATATAATTAATTATATTGTTTATATACTTATATAATTAATTATCTTAATATTATAATTAATTATATTATAACTTTGTACCAAAAAAGTGAAAATTTTTGTTGAAGCCAGCTGACTTCAAATGTTGGCCTCGCAGTATATTCTTTTCAGGTTCTTGGGTAATCGAGCACGCCTTTAGAGTAGACGTCCCATATTATTGTAAAGTGTGTTTCTTTTTTCTTTTTCTTTTTCTTTTTTAAACGATAGAAATTACAAAATTAAAAATAATTACAATAATATTACAATTATAACTTAAATTTTAATAAAAAAATTTAAAATTATTGATATACTTTCATTGCGCTGATGCCGCGAGTGCTATTTGTAAAGTTTGTCTGTACGAATTGTCATCAGCATTTTTAATCAAGAAGGTAAAGAATATTTTCAAAAGAGAGGGAATACAGAGGAAGTAAGACACAATTAGGAAATAATCAGGCACAGTACTGTTTTCTCTTGTGGTGCTGGTGAGATAACATGTGAAGAGATAAGGAAAGGACTAGGATGACTGACATTGATTTGAAGCTTGAAGTACTTTATTTATGTCTGGTGGTGGGGTTATTACCTGACAAGTAATAAGTCCCTGGTAGCTAAACACTTAGAAGTCAGTGTCATTTCAAATGATTAACATCTAGTTGGAGGGAGGGACAACTCAAACACGTGCATTGGCTGCAATATTTACTAAAATTAACTTGTGTCGGACCCATGTAGTACTTTTGGTGTGCATGCAGACAAGAAGTGCGTTGAATAATTGTAATCCCCTAGCCACCCCTCCCACTGCAACTGCACCTCCCCCCCCTTCCCCCACCACTCCCCCTGCCCCGTGTTCAATTACCATTATAGAGTACCAAGTGTCCCTCTCTCCGTTGAAGGAGCAAGAGACTTCTTCAGACAACCGTAGTCTTGGTCTCGGACTCCGTGTTGATATGTCGGCACATGCGTGGATTTTACATCCAGATGGCTCTAGCTGTAATTGGTCTACACGATTCTGATTGAGGCATTCTTTGCCTTATTATCCTTCTCACTCAAGAAATAGAATATTAGTTAAAGAAAGTGGAATCTAGTTAATTGTGAACATTTGACACGGTGAGTTCAAACATAAAAGAAATTTCGAATTTGAAATTATTTAACAATAGTTAAAACAATATTTTTCTTTATTAAATTTTGACATGAGATTTTCTTACTTAAGACTTATTCCTTTAGATTTTTTCTCATGCACCTTTCTCTTGGATGCAATGACTGAAATATAAAGCTCAAGGCATTTGTACATTATTGATGTTTTTTCTTTTGGTTACTTTTTATTAGATATATGTGTATTTAAAAATTTATTTATATCTTGTTTATATATAGATATTATGCAAAATAATGTAGAATTTGAACAAAAATGAAGCGTTTGTAAATATATATGAATTTTATTGTAACGTATTCACATTGATGGGGAATTAGGAAAGCAAGTGGAGAGCTAATTCAAGATGGAATTTTTTTAATATAAGTTGTATAATAAAAAAACAACTATTTCTCATTTATTAACTCATTTCATTTATATGTCATAAGACAAACTTAAAATTTCTTATTTTTATTAAAAGAAAATTATTACCAAACTATTAAGGTTATTATTCTATAAAGATCTCAAAAAAAAAAAAAAAACTCACCAAACAATTTATTACAAGGCAGGTGCAGCCACGTGACCTCTTGATGTTAACCTTAGGTGAATTTGTTACAGCCGGAAAGTTCAGGGACTTTCTGTTATTACAGAAAATAAGGAAAATTAAGTTTAGAGGTTTATAAATAAGGGAAGATTGCATATTAGTCTTGATGTTAAAAAATTGGATTTCTCATCTTAAATGATATTGTTTCATTGAATTGAAATTCAATTCAAAATTTAAAAATTCATATACTTTAATATAATTAATTTTTAAATTT